TGATTGATGGGTGTCATTAGCTGGTCTTTTGTGTGCAGTGATCGCTGGTCCTTGTGGCTGGGTAGAGTTCGTTGACCTTTTGCAGGCTGTATTTTTCAGTGCTGGGAGCCAGGCCTTGTTGAGTTTTAAAGTTCCTTCTTTTTTGTTAAAGCTCTGCTGGTGTTTTTGGATTTCAATGGCGTCCCTGTGCAGCCTAACATAATGATCGCTGGTGTTGTCCAGTACTTCTGCATTTTGAAATATGTTCACTTGGTTTTCACAACACCCCTGTAGGATGGATAAGTCTAAGAGAAACTATCTGAGGTCAAACAAGGGAGTTTTTATGGCCGAGTGGAAAGCAGCGGAGCCGAATTTAGAGTAAAGTGATGTTTGCCACTCTGGTCCATTCAGGGGCCGTGGCCAAGGGGCGTTTGTGGCCCCCGCAATGAGGACTAGCATTGTGGCTAAGCGACCTTTGCTTTCCAGAGATCCTTCTTTGTGCCAAGACAGGGCAGGACTTTGGCTTTACGACAGCCCCATTGGGTCGACCAAGCTGTGGTGCCCACCGTCTGCACTGGGTGCAGCGTAATGGGGAGGTGGGACCCCGGGAACCTCACTTTCATTTAGCAGCGAAGAGTGGAAGGAATGAAAAACAACAGGGGTTTCAAGTCCTCAAAACTGCAAGAACAGCCTCAGAAACCCAGTGGTGTGAGATTTCGAATACAGACCAGAGGTTTTTTTAGGGGCGGTCTGGCCGACGTCTTGGGTGCGGCTTAGCCTTCTGTCCTCCCTACGCCCCTGCGGTGTAGGACTTCAAAGCTCGTTCTTTCCAAACCTGCCCTGTTTTGGCTCGGCCCTGCGGGGTAGGCGTGAGAAGGGCGAAATCGGGCGGGACCACCTGGTGTGTTTCTCCCGGCAGGGTTTTGCTTTTGCCTCCAGTTTGCAATTAAACATCCTCATCCTCATAAGAATATTCATCAGGCCTAACTCGGAGGCCTATCTGCCTGCTAATATCATGTTTATGCACCTTCGTAAATGAGTTTTCTGGGGAATTCTAGCAAATGTACGTGGGGTTTGGCTTTTTTTATTTTGTTTTTTGGTTTGTTTTTTTTGGAAAAAACCCCCCCCCCCCGTGCCCCGGCCTGGTCAAAACTTTGCCCGAAATCCACGCCTCTCACTGGATCCGTAGCTCCCACCCCACGTGAAACAGAGAGGCCCCACATTCCCCCTGGCTTCTGAATTTAAGCAAATTCGCTGTTTGTTTTTCCTGCGCTCCTATTTATGTCTAAATGTTATTGGTTTTTTAGCCTCGGCAAAGGCCCATGAAACTCATTTGGGAACAATCAGGCGTGGCGTGAATGCTTCCCGGGGCCGGGGAATGTGTGTGCGAGCATTGGGGGGGGGTCTCTCTTGTCTTCGGGGTGGGCCCGCCTTCCCCCTTTTGTGGTGGGAGTAATTGAACCCAGAATCCCCCCTCTCCGTGGCCCGCCAAAGCAAGAGGGGGGGTTTACTTTGTCCTCTCCACAAGGACTCCATTCACATTTTTCTCTCCCGCAGCTGGAAATCGGCCGCATTAGACCTCGGGGAGGCCAACGCTGGCCAGTGGCTGGCTATTGAGGAACAGATTCGGGGGGGGGACGCTGTGCATTTTGTGGCGTCCCTCGTAATGACATCATTAGGATGAGAACACTGCCCGAGGAGAAAGCCTCTCTCCCCCCACAAAACCACCCATTGAGAACTCTTTGGAGAGATGAGGTTGCCATGTTCCTCGGCGCCTGTGCTCCTCCGCTAACCCAAGAGCCATCCGATTGGACTAGAAGGCAACCGGTGGTTAGCCAAAGACGGACTAGCCCTGTATCCGTAAAGGGACTGATCCTTACACCCTGCGAGGGGGTGTAGACCTGATCTGTCTACCCCTGAAGCATGTGGTCTCCATCAGAGGATTTGAGTCACAGCCTCTCCTTGTCTGGAGACAGAAAGAATTCTGGATTTTTGAGTTCCTCCACCTTGATTTTAGAACCACCCGGGTGGATGGGAGGGTTTTGGAGGATTCAAAAGTTCATTTTTCAAATTCTACAAAGATACAGAATTTCTGGACTTAGGAAAAGCTTCCTGGAGGGGAGAGAGCCCCTGATGAAAATGGAAGGAAGGCTTTTGCAAAATAAAATACATAAAAAGCAAATAAATAAATGCTAGCCAGCCAGCCGAGGCAGGGCCCCCCCGGTCTGTCTTGTTTCGGCACATTCAAGGCCGGAGGGGGAAACGAGACACGATGCTTCCATTTTGCTCAATCTCCACATTTGTATTCTCCTAACACCCCTGCAAGGTAGGGGAAGTGGAGAGAAAAAGAACTGGTTACAGAGTGCGGGTTGAACCTGGGTCTCTCCAACCCTCCCATCCCAAATGCTCCCACCAGCGGGGCTCGCTCACCTCTTCCAGTGGCACTTCTGTGTTGGTTTTCCTCAAGGCGGATGATTTCCCCCTTTTCATGACAACCCTTTCAAGGCATGGCCCGTCGTTCGGTGGACGGCCCCCCGTTTCAGACACGGTCTCGGGTTCGATTCCAGCTCCCGGTAGAGCTGCTGGGAGAGACCCCTGCTTCAAAAGGCTGGCGGGTGGCTGCCGGACCAAAAACAGCCATGAGGACTAGGATCTTAACTTTATTTTTTTTTTTCATTGAGGAGCGCTGCTCGGGGACAGAGGCCAGCCGGGGCTGCAAAGAGGCCGGGTTCAAATCAGGGCATCTGTGGGAATGATTAGGGAACCTTCTGTATTGGAGAGAAAAAGTGCTTTGAACATGAGCCTAATTCGCACTTGTTGCTTCACACACACAAACCCAGGGCCTGGGGCTTTATTTTGGATTTTGCAGGTCTCCGAATTCGCCCGGCCAAGTTTTTCTGTCTTCCTCATGCCCCCCCCCAACGTTTACAAAAAGTTTCCTTAATACTGCTTTGATGATTTGAGGGTCCTTTCTTCTAAGTGGTTATACATCTTTAAATCTATGGATGGTCTGTTTGGAATTTA